AATACCAGTGCATGATGTTTGCCATCATGGGAAATAAGAGAAAGAAGCTAACACTAGATGGAGTTATCTATATACAGCTTCCCTATCAAAAGTGGTGGCCCCTTTTACTTAAGTGGAAAGATGCTATTGAAGATTTAATATTGAGATTCAAACTGCTCCCTGACTGCTGACCAAGTAAACAGTATTTCAGTCAGATACTGAGAATCAAGGACGAGATTAAACGTAAGCATCGGGTTTGCTAGTGCCTTAACCAACAGAAAACACCTATATATTTTTCTTGTTGGAAAGATTACCAAGGATCTGAATTTGGGCTGGCTTCTAGAAAAGTTCAACAAATTAGAGGAGAATAAAGACTGAGATGGACTAGTAAGAATTAGTAATGCATACTAATCAACTAGCAAGATCAGCTTAAACTGGAAACTGTACTTAGGAACTGACCCAATCATTTCGTTTTTTTAAAGATTAAAAAAAAAATTTGATCCAGTGATCCCACTTCTAGGAATATATACTAAGAATCCTGAAACACTAATCAGAAAGAATATATGCACCCTTATGTTCATAGCAGCACAATTTACAATAGCTAAGATCTGGAAACAGCCCGAGTGTCCATCAGTAGATGAGTGGAGAAAAAAGCTGTGGTACATCTACACCATGGAATACTACGCAGCTGTAAAGCAGCAGCATCTCGTACCCTTTGGGATAGCATGGATGGACCTAGAGAGTATTATGCTAAGCAAAATAAGGCAGGCAAAGAAAAACAAACATCGCATGATCTCACTTATTATATGTGGAATCTAAGGAACTTAATAAAGTGATGAACAAAATAGGTTCAGTAACATGGAAGCAGGGATCAGACTGACAAATCTCAGAGGGAAGGAGGGAGGTGGGTGGCTGGGTGGGCAGAGAGAGTAACCAAAGAATTTATATGCATATATCCATAACCCATGGACACAGACAATGGTGTGGTGAGGCACTGGGGAGGGGGGTGAAATGGACAGAAGGGGTCAATGGGGAGAAAAGGGGACATCTATAAGATTTTGAACAAGAAAAAAATATATATATATTGATTTTTAGAGAGAGGGAAAGGAAGAGGGAAAGACAGAAACATCGATGTGAAATTGAACACAGATGAGCAGACTCATGCATGCCCCCCACTGAGGATCGGGCTTGAAACCTAGGCATGTGCCCTGATGGAACAGAACCAGCAGCCCTTTGGCACATGGGATGATGCCCAACCAACTGGGCCACGCTGGCCAGTGCTGACCCAATCTTATAAAAAACTTTAGGAAGAAAGCAAATTATTAAAGGTAGAAATACTAATTATTTGCACAGTATTTTGGCACAAAATGAAAACAGGTAGCATGAAGTAATAGACTGGATCCCGCTCTAGTCTCATTTGTGCCTCTGTTAGATTACAGTTGAGTTTCACTACTGGCTCCTGACCACCCTGGGCTACCTTCCTCCCAGCCTCAACAGCTAAGAGATGGTAGTAATTTGGTCATTAAACTTTAGAAATTTTAGCACAATGAACTATGATGCAAATTAGTGTATTGAATCATATACTCATAAAAAAGTTTATGGTGTCTTAAGGCCAAGGACAAGCTATAAACGTAAGAAGTTTATGCATCTGTCTCCTATTCCTAGACATGGACAAGTTATTTTAAATCGTGAATTATAGGTAACAAAAAAGGAATCTTGTGAACATTTAAAAACATTTAAGTCTTCAAAGTATAATTCTTAGGTCCTTATATATCTATGTCTTGTAAGTATATAAAATATATGCATTTCTTTTTAATTATAATAAATTCACAGAAAAAAGGCAACTTAAAGCCATGCTCAGAATATGAAATCTCTTCTACATTAGACTGTCTTTTGTTATTTCTGTCTTTTGTCTTCATTTTATTAATGTATGCAGGCACACAGCTTTTAAACAAGAGGCCATTTGATTAGATCAGTTTTGATTTGACATAAGCAACAATCTAAAAGGTGTAAAATATTTCTGTTTACTACAAATGTGTGGACTCTAAAGTAGCCTAATTGTGGACTAAAAAACTAACCTTGGGCCAAATATATGGTGATGGAGGATGATTTGACTTTGGGTGGTGAGTGCACATTACAATATACAGATCATTTATCATAGAAATGTACACTTGAAACCTATATAATCTTATTAACCAATGTTACCCCAATAAACTTAAAAAAAAAAAACTAGCTTAAAAATTCCTTAAGAGAATTTTTAACCAGTCTCTTAGCTGAAAAAAAGAAATAGAATGCTTTCAAGCAAATTTAGCAATTAGTAAGCTAAGAAATCAGACAACAGTAAAATTACCATGTTATGAAGAACTTATACCAAACTAGTAAAGTTAAATGTCATATTTTTTAAAGTTCCTCTTACATTCTAACATTTATTGACTGGCACTGTGCTGAGAACACGGCAGGGCAAAGGAAACTGCAAAAACATTAAAAAATATTTACTGACATAGACAAAAAATATACTTTGTTATTTTTAGGTATGCAATTATTTTATTACCACTTTTTCATTGGTTTCTAAAAGCCTGTACACTAATATACAAACTAAAATTTTGTGGAATTCAGCATCCTCATTTTCTTCCCTTTTTCCTAAAATTAAAAAAAATCTTAGGATACTAAAATGATAATGTATTCGCTCATCAGTGTGGTTAATAGGAAAATGTATTATATTTGCAAGAACTGAGTACAAACTTTAGATAAACTGAAAAGCAAATTTAATTCTAAATGAATTTTTATCACAAAGGTTTGTCATTAAAAATGTAAAACTTTGAGTGTACATAAAATATAAAATAGTTCGAATTCAAACTGAGAACTGTTTTTGACTTTTAAATTAAAGACAACTATTATTTCAACAATGTAGGGCTTAAGTCATGCTTACTGAGATAGATGTTATCAGAGATGAAATATTTATAAGAGTGGTACCTGAGGATATTTGTATACTCTTTATATAATGACTGAGAACCAGTTAAAATACACACACACACACACACACACACACAAAAGAAGCAATTGTGAAAGTTCAGATTTCTGTAGAAAAATTCTATCAGTGTAAATACCATTAATGATTTAGCAGGAAACACCAGTTAGGAAAAGATGGCTAACTGAATAGCAATGGTAGCCAATTAGGATTCAGGAAAATAGCTTTCTAATATTAGCCCTATCAAATGAAATAACTATTGACAGTGGATCAATGGAATTAAGATCATATATACTAGACCTAGATCATCAGGCTTCAAAGCCCAGGACTGTCAATTACTGCTGTGTGACTTCAAAGTATATTTCTTGGGTTTCAAAGGTTAGGTTCCATCACCTCTAAAATGGATAAAAGTAACTATCCCAGAGCTATTTTGAGCTAAGTTAATCCACGTAAGGTGCTTAGTACAGTGCCTGGCACAGAATTGCTCACAGTAAATGCCTGGGACTTAACAACAGCTTGCCATCACCACTAATGCAACCCTAACACTCCAACAATCTGGCTGTTTCCTTCAGTGTAAAATACAGATTTGAACTAGATCATTTCTAATGCTTTTGGCCACCTAAAATTAAAATCTACAAGTAAAAGAACATACAGGGCCAACTCTATTTCCAAAGAACATAAATTTATAATCTTTCACTCTAGCACAACGAAGGGCATGGTAATTTAAATGATACATAAGAATCATATTTTTTAAGTCATCCCTTTGAAATTAGTTATATTTACTATACTTATTAAAGCCAAAGTTACATGTATGAAACCTAAAGGAAATCCATGAGCTTCTATCAATTATCATGTTCAGCAAGTACAATTCTTCCAGAGAGTATAACAGCAAAATTGTCATAACCAATATGATCTTAATTAAAAGATGACTGTCATATAAATAACTCTACATGTTTTTAGCAGTCTACTTATGGTTATAATTTTGACTTTTACTATAGAATATCTAAATATATTAATTTGGCGCCTGCAACAATTTCTGAAAAGTCCTAATAGGAATCTAAGGTGGATAATCCTAACGTGTATTTTTTTTTTCATTTTTTTATTTGTTATAGGAACATTTCATATCTTCTACTTAATAGATAGAAAAAGTGAAAAAAATGAAAATTTTCAAATATGCAAACCAGCAAAAAGAATCAAATCCACAGGTCTAAAAAAAATCTCTCTGCTGATGTTACAATTCAAAATTCAACTGGAAGGCAAATTTTTTTATAGCCAGATTATTAAGATTCTTTTTGATGGGACTCAAATATTTTTAAAAATCAGAGTTTTATCATGAGAACATCAAGAAAAATCTCTTACATGTTTTTTGGGGGCAAACTATTGCTATCTATAGACACATTAACTGTGCACTAACCCAAATACTTTCAATAACAGAGACTTTTTTTTTAAGTATTTGGAGAACATTGAGAGATTCTATTAAGAAACTTTAAAAGCCTTTTTAAGAAATTTTTAAAGGTGTGAGTGACCACTTGAAAAGAGGTTATCTAAAAATTTAAAAATGTTTTTGTACATACTAAGATAGCACTGGGGAAAAGAGCTCTAGCTCACCTCAGTCAGGTACTAGCATGGTGGGCTAAAGGAATGAAATTACATTTGCCCATGAAAGTAAATGTTTGATTACCTTAGTTCTCAGTATTAAAACAAAACAAAACAAAACAGCCCCCTTACACACAAATGTTCCTTAAAATCTGACAATTTCATAAGCTCTCAAAGCAGAAAACATGTTTACCAGTCAATATTCGTATTTCATTTCTATATTAGCAAAAATGTGGTTAGTACTGTGAAAGTAAAAAAAAAAAATTTTTCTTAAATTCATGACTGCGCTAACTTCAGCTTCGTTTCCAATAAATCCTTATCTTGAACAGACCTCCACACTTCATACTTGGCACAATTTGCAATCATTTAAGAAATTTCAGTTTCACCTTATAACTAGTTCACAGTAAGCAGCTGTATAAAGTTCGTGCCATAAAATGAATCTATACTCCGTACTTACCCTCAATATTTAGCTCAAAACAAACGTGGCAGAAGGAGAGTGTTTCTTTGTCTGTTCCCAGTTTACAAACACTGCAAATGTTGTCATCGTTCAAATCAATGTTTACAAACTGCTCCTCTTCGTTCATTGTGCCCCTATTAAGGAACAGAAAAGGAAAGTTACGCAATTCCAAGGACCTGCCCGTAGAGCAATAGAGGGAACTTCTAGCAAGAGGAAGGATGCTGTTCAGTTTATCTAACCATCAACCAAGCATCGCCATACTGCGCTTCAATACACCACTTTTATTGTCAAAGACACAAACCTAGTAACACTTAAAGCCTTGCCACGGGTGGCACTGTGCCCGAGGCCCTTTCTGGTCCCGCGTTTCCTCTGGCTGAGGGGATGTGGAGGAAGGCGGGTTGCGGGATTCCAGCCCGCCCCTCCACCCCCAAGCGCGCACAGCGGGAACCCAGCCGCGACGCCGCCTCGGCCGCCGGGGTCCGTCCACCCAGTTCACGCTGTTGAATGCGGGAAAAGACCTGTTCCGGACATGCTTTAACTTCATCGTGGGGACCTCAGATGCGGTTCGCTAACTCGGCGCAGCGAGGCTTCCTGCCCGAGGTCGGCGGCAGGAAAATGCACGTGCAAACCCAACACGGGGTAGGGCGTCCCGCCGGAGTCCCCAGCCCGGACCCCGGACCGACCGCAGCTCCACCGCGCGGGTCGGGCGCCGCGGGGGCGGGGTGGCCAAGTGGGGCCGGCAGGAGCCGGGGGTTTCCTTCGCCCTGGGTTCCCGCCCACCCAGAGAAGGCGACCGAGGGCCGCAGCCGCTCGTCCCCCCGGACTCAGCGCCCAGAGGAGTCAGTTCGCCCCCCCC